TTGGCAGACATCGTTCTAGACTCAATTCAGTACGTTATGCCAAAATTCGTGCAAATCGGAAGATATTTACCGACTTTGGTGGACCATTTACATCAAATCGGACGAAACTATATATGGGAGCTATATCTAAATCTGGACCGATTTTCTCCAAACTTGGCAGACATACCTCTAGGCTTAATTCAGTACGTTATGCCAAATTTCGTGCAAATCAGAAGATATATAGGAACTTTGGGCACTATTTACATGAAATCGGACGAAACTATATATGGGAGCTATATCTAAATCTGGACCGATTTTCACGAAACTTGGCAGACATCATTCTAGACCTAAATGATTAGGCTGTACCAAATTTCGTGCAAATCGAAAGATATATAGGGACTTTGGGGCACCATTTACATGAAATCGGACGAAACTATATATGGGAGCTATATCTAAATCTGGACCGATTTTCTCCAAACTTGGCATACATCACTCAAGGCTTAATTCAGCACGTTATACCAAATTTCGTGCAAATCAAAAGATATATAGGGACTTTGGGGTACCATTTACATGAAATGGGACGAAACTTATATATGGGAGCTATATCTAAATCTGGACTGATTTTCACGAAACTTGGCAGACATCATTCTAGACCTAAATGATTAGGCTGTACCAAATTTCGTGCAAATCGAAAGATATATAGGGACTTTGGGGCACCATTTACATGAAATCGGACGAAACTATATATGGGAGCTATATCTAAATCTGGACCGATTTTCTCCAAACTTGGCATACGTCACTCTAGGCTTAATTCAGCACGTTATACCAAATTTCGTGCAAATCAAAAGATATATAGGGGCTTTGGGTCACCATTTACATGAAATCGGACGAAACTATATATGGGAGCTATATCTAAAAATGATTTTCACGAAACTTGGCAGACATCATTCTAGACCTAAATGATTAGGCTGTACCAAATTTCGTGCAAATCGAAAGATATATAGGGACCGTTTACATTAAATCGGTTAAATATATATATGGGAGCTATATCTAAATCTGAACCGATTTTTCCCAATTTCAATAGGGTTCGTCCTTGGGCCGAATAAGTGACCTATGCCAAATTTCATCCAATTCGGATCATAAATGCGACCTGTACTTTGTTTACAATTTAACATGACAGACGGACAGACGGACAGACGGACGGACGGACGGACCACAATTCGACTCAGAATGTGATTCATGCATATTTCTGTTTCCATGGCAAAAAAATATCAATTTGTGTTTGCAGATTTTTTGTTAGAAAAAACTGAGATTCCGGACATTATTTGCTCGAATATCAGCGAGTGTCAAGATTATTTGCTGGACGTTATAAGCCTCAAATTAAAAGTTGCAAAAAATACTATAAAGACTTTTGAAAAAGTTGTTTATAAAAATATCACATACAAAAGTTCGTATTTTGTAGCAACAAAAAAAGATGATGTATACAAAATTGTCAACATCGTTGTTTCACAACTCACAGTTTATTTGGTTTGTCAACAAGTTCTAAACAGTACGTATTTGAAACACTACACTGCATTTGAAATTATTCCAAATGATAAAGGAGAATATTCCGTTTTGAAGCTTGACGAATTAATTGGACCACCGGCCACATTGATTAATACCGCTAAGGGAAAATTTATGCTTCGTTTCAAAGAAACAATTTAAAAATACCTTTTTCCATGCTAAACAATTTATTTTTAGTTTAAAAATGTCTGAAACAAACTCGGAGACTTTGAGCTGTGGGGAAGAAGATGCCTTGAAAAACTTACTTATATCATGGGGTATAGAAGACAAATTGGACATACTCATACGTAAGATTTAACTTATATGCTGAACCTATATATTGGAGACAAGGCCCAGTTCATTCACCATTTCACAAAGTGGAGACATGATATTAACCATCCATTTTGGGCAGAATGTTCAAGTCCTCCAGTTTTTCCCAAAAAAGCCGATTCGTGTAACTCATCTGATACGGAAGAAGTCGATAACGTCAATATGTTGGAGATATTGCAAAGTAATAAAAATGGGGAACGTGTGCTACAGTTTTACGAAAAAAACAAGTTTCTCACAGATGAACTAAGAGTTTTCATTATAAACATTGCTGCCCAGCATTTTGCAAGAAAAGACGCACCAATGACTCTTCAAGCAAGCTACAAACTCGAAACGCAAATATTGTCTCTATTTCCGACTGAAAAACTTGAATTCTATCGAACAGAACGTAGAGGAAAAATTTATGTAAAATCCCAAAATCTTAAAAAACAAAGCAAGCAGATTTTTATGCTGGAAAACGAATCACCTACGGCGTCAAAAAAGGCTAAAATTACTTTTGGTAGGAAATGTGGAATTTGTGGTTTAGTAATGGTTTTTAATTAATTTGTATTTTCAGTACCTGAGGAGAATGGAGAGGATTTGGTGCAAGTTCTTAAATATGACAAGCTTTCAGCTGAAGAGTTTGAAACAAAGTGGATTTCTTGTGCCAACTATAGACTTAATCAAGTACTTAACGAATGCAGTAGCCTACGAGAGATTCTTAAAAAGTGGCCTGAATATAAATCACATTATAAGTTGGTGAGTATATATATATATCAAATTGTAAACATTTGATAATTTTAGCGTAATTCTACAAAAACTGTTTTAAATTCAGATTGATATTGACTTCTCAATAATGCATAAATCGCACAACAAAATGCTCAACTGGGACCAAAAAATCCTAAAGTTGTTTAACTTTTTGAAAAAATCTAAGCAACTTAAATGTCATGGTGAGTCAAAAATGTTAGAAACTCTCCAGGACGAAGATTTGGAAAAGGGTAAGAGTCTTCAAGTCAAGCTCAACAAATCGATCAAACCTAATTTAACGTTATTATTTGCAGATCGAGGCACATTTGCAGTGAAAACCCTGTGGATTTTACATTATGTTCTTTTCCCGACTGGGCGGCAAGTTCGAAAAACAATTCTCGGAAAGAAAGAAATATCTCGCTATACAATAAAGGACTCCCAGAAGACGTTTTTGTTTTTGGGAAAGACTTTGCAAGAATTACACGACCATATTGATTTTTTGTTAAAGATGAAAGAACATATTCAGCCTTTTATATTGGGAATCGGAAGTCTGGACGATATACATGAAATTTTTGTTTATTTTGATGGTGACCTCATACGGTTTCCTAATTTTCTTCGCTCTTTGGATATTTGTTTTAAAATGTTCCATTTATTTAATTTACAATATCCCACAGCATCTGAAACATTTTGGATCTTTTTGGAAAACTACTTTTTTGAAATAAGTTCATGCTCAAAGAAAAAGTCAAAGGTAAGCATCCTCTTGGATGATTTAGAGAAACAATCTGAGTAATTGGTTTCAATTTAATAAGTTATAAATTCTCAGATATTTAAAACACTAAATTAAATAATAATTAAGCTATTTTTATATTGATATCTTCATATCAATTAAAAATAAGTTCGAAAATTAGATTTATGCAAATAACAAACGTTCCTAAATTCCGCAGATTAAAAACTGACTGTGTATTTGAATTACCTCAAGTAATTACAAATAAAGACTTATAGACTATATAAGTAAAAAAAGTTATAGTATTTTATAAGAACTTGTATGCTAAAAATATATTAAATATATTACTGTTAAAAACAAATCAAAATGGACTGAAAAATGAATTATAACTAAGTAGAATTGTTTACAAAATATGATATGTAAGAAGAAACATGAACTTTTGTAACACTGATTAAATAATATTTACAAAATTAATTTTTAAAAACCGCTTGCAAAACAAGTCACAATATGAATTTATTATTTTTGAGTTTAACATAGATATCTAAGACCTCTTTTGTTTGTAAATGAATTAACAAAGATACGTTTTTACAAAATAAAGAAAAATAAAAAAATAAGTATGTGAATATATTCTTGTCTAAATGGTAAATAATGCCTGAACATATTCACACAACAAATGAAACCCGTTCATAAAAAATTAACAATTTCATAAAATCAAAGAAACCCTTTCATTATTTAAATGTACATCATTCATTTAGCATATGAAGGGGTTTCATTTGTTGTATTAATGTTTCATTTGCTGTATGAATATGTTTCATTCAATCTATGAACACATTTCATTGGATTTATGAAGACATTTTATTCTATTCATGAATAAATTTCATTATATCTATGAAGATGTTGCATTGAATTAACGATTATGTTTCATAGAATAAGTGAAAGCTTCATTAAATCAATGAATTTATTTCATTACATCAATGAACATGTTTCATTGGGTTAATGACTTTGTCGTTAGTCCAATGAAACTTTTTCAATATATGTGTGAATATGATTCATTCGACGAATGCAACTATACATTAAATATGTGAAGATATTTCATATATTCTATGAACTTGTTTCAATACATCTATGAATGGTTGTCATTAATCTAATGCAATATTTCATCCATCCAATGATGGAAACGTTTCATTAAATAAATGTTTTCGAATCATTCATCCAATGAAATGTTTCTTTGGTCTTTTTTTAATGAAACATTTCATTGGGCCAATGCAGAAATTCATTATATTGATGCAGAAATTTCTCTCAGTGTAGCTCCCATATAAGGGCACCCGCCAAATTTCGGTATTTTGGGGTTCTTGAGCGCGTTTTCAGCCGAATTCGCTGAAATTTGGTACATTGGATACTAAATGTCTTCATAAAAAATTATAAGTATAGGTCCACTTTTTCTGGTAGCCCCCATATAACGGTACCTCCTTATTTTCAGTATTTTGGGGATTTTGGTCGTATTTTTCCACCGAGTTGGCTGTAATTTAGTATTCTTAGTTCTTAATAGGTACCAAATCTCTCCACACAAAATTATGAATATAGATCCATTTTTTCGGGTAACCCCCATATAAGGGTACCCAATTTTCGTTATTTTGGGGTTCTTGAGCGTGTGTTTCAACCGAATTCGCTGCAATTTGGTATTTTGTAGTCGTATATGGTAACAAATCTCCCTACTAAAAATTATTAATATTCTCCCTCTTTTTGGCGTAGTCCCCATATAACCCCCTTTTTTATATTAAAATAGTTATCTGATTTGTTCTGCGTTTTGGGTTTGGTTCTAAGACTCTGTTGTAATCATTTCACCTGCGGAGGATAGAACGTAAGGTTCGATAATGTACTATATATGTGTCCGTCCCTGTGTGGGACGTACCAGAAGGAGTGGACCGATATTTCCCATCTTCGAAGTTGAACAAAGTTTGGAATAAATAATGAGATAGGCAAAGTTTGGATGAAATCAAAATTTTCTGAAATGGATTTGGTACAAAAAAAGGGGTCTAGAACCAATATTTCGACGAGGCACATTTTCACTGTATCAAAGGGTATACACCCTCATTATGGTTTACATAATCAGTTTGTAGAAAGATCACATTTTGTGGTATGTTCCCTTTATTTTAATTTCAAGTACCTGTCAGTATAGCAATGGTCGAGGGTATCCAAAGTTCGTCCGAACTTAACGCTTTTCACCTGTTTATTTTTAAGATTTTAAATGGGCAGGTAAATGAATACCAATGCTTGTTAAGGTTTGTAACTTTGCACACGTATATTTGAAACTTCAAAATGAAGAAAAATAATTTACAAAAATTTTTGTTTTTTTTTTGTGATCAAAGAAAAGTCATTATTATAGATGGCGGGCATTATAACTCCTCACTGGAACATCGGAATCCGAAAATTTCAACGGTGTTGGAAAGAGTACATGTCTGGCTTTCGTATGAACTAGAATTATTGACTTCGCACAACAATTAACAAAATGGCGGAACTTTGAAAAAACATTTTTAAAAAATAAGGAAGTTCTTCACCGATTGGCTTTATTCTACTTCATACGAGAGCTATACACTCCCAGAGAAACATGTCAAAATTTGGAACCGATTGGATTATTAGTTTTCGGCTATATCTACAAGAGTTCTTGAGATTTTCACTTAAAATTTTGCAGGGACATTCTCGAATTAGAGTAAATTCGAATTAAATAAAAAAAAAAATGTTGGCACCGAGAATGGGGTGGGGTCCCCTTAAATATCATGGGCACACTTTCCAATTTAACTAACTGTAATGTTATATTTTTGGTTCGTATTGAGCAGCAAAATTGTCTTTCAAAAATGGTCAACATCAGTCGACGATTTAATATGGCTTCCATATTCGATGTCGATTTATTCATTCGCACCTCTATATTAAAATCACGACATTTAAGATAGTGATTGTGTGATATTGAAAATGACATGTATCGGTCCGCGTTCATGGACGGCTTCCATATAACTGTACCCAAAAATATGGCTATGTAGACAATTTTTAATATAGGTCCCGTTTTAAGTATTTTTATAGTCCCATTAATACGCATTTTTCAACCGAGGTGTTTTCATTCTGGTGGATATTAAAACTTGTAGCACTCTTTGAATTCTACTGGTTCAGAATCATTATTTTCCTGACCAGATGTCTTTAACATTTGAATGGATGAATACATTTATATAATGTTGTGATGATATTCGGTTCAGTAGTTGCAGAGGAAAATGGTCACAATTCCTCGTACTTAATCTACGTTTGGACATACCATTCCTTTGATATTTAATCAAAAAATTTTCAACAAACTTTGGGTATGAACTTCAACATACCGAAAATTAAACGGGGCAACACCCACGGTTGTTTTGAAACATTTATCTATATGGAATAACTTCTGGAAAAAAATTGTTTTCTCCACGAATCCGATGTGAGAAATTGTTGTCAGTACGATGCGAAAATTCGGTAAAAAATGTAATAATACTGAAAATACATCGGGCTCTTAAGGTGGGGACTGTGAAAAAACATCATATAGGCCACAGTAATGAGCCACGGAATTTTGAATGTAGGACCGGTTCTGGTCCTATAGTAATGACCGATTAATATGAATGAAATATACCAAAAACATTATTTTTTCCCAAAGATCGGATAAAGAAGGATAAAGACCCCAGAAGTTGATAGTATATTCAAGAGGAAGTAAATTCAATTTATGTCAAATATATTGTTGTATGTACTCGGATGTGGTAGTTGTACGTGAATATCAACGGAGATCAATTTGACATTTTACACGAAGTTCCGGTTATGGTCAAGGACGACGCCAATAATTTTGGAAATTATTATATGATATTTAGGGACTGTAGTAGACTAAAAACATAGAACATAATAAGCCAAACATTAGAACGGTAGTTTTGATCGGGCAATATTCAGCAGGTTAAATTAACTAAGACTTGTCTGCGTAAAATGATAATAAGTGAAAAAGCGTTAAGTTCGGCCGTGCCGATCTTAGATCACCACCACGATAGATATACTGACAGGTACTTGAAATGAAAATATAGGGAAAATACTGAAAAGTGCACCTATACCGACATTTCTACAAACCGATTATGTAAACCATAATACAAATTTCGGATTTGTAATTGATAATTATTGATAATTATACCCTCAGCTTTATGGCTGATGAGGTGAAAATGACCCTCATCGAAATATTGGCCCATGTTTCTTTGGAACAATTTTTTTTCAGAAAATTTTGATTTCACCCAAACTTAGCCCATCTTATTATTTCCTCCAAATATTTTTCAAGTTCGAACATGGGGAATATCGGTCCACTCCTTCTGGTACCTCCCACACAGGGGCTATGGCTAAATGCGGGTTACAGTTGAATATATATATATATATATATATATATAAGGTTAATTATCGAACCTTATGTTCTAGTTTTTTTCGTGTCTTTAGCAGATGAAATGATTACAACAGAGTCTTAGAACCAAGCCCAAACATGGAAAAAATCATATAACTATTTTACTATAAACAATTGAAAAAGCGTTAAGGCCAAATTACGCACTCAAGAACACCAAAATACACCAAATTTGGGGTTCCCTTATATGGGGGCTATCCGAGAAAATGGTCCTATATTCATTTTTTTTTGTGGAGAGGTTTGGTACCTACTAAGAACTCAAAATACTAAATTACAGCCAATTCGGTGGAAAATACGATCATACTGAAAAAAAGAGGTACAGTTATATTGGGTCTACCAGAAAAAGTGGACCTATATTTATAATTTTTTGTGGAGACATTTAGTACCCAATAAGAACCCAATGTACCAAATTTCAGCGTATTCGGTTGAAAACGCGCTCAAGAACCCCAAAATACCGAAAATTTGGGGGTACTATTATATGGGAGCTATGCCTAAACGTGGACCAATATATACCATCTTCGAACTTGACCTGCCTGCAGACAAAAGACAAACCTATGCAAAATTTCAGCACCCTAAACTATGCCTAAACGTGGACCAATATATCCCATCTTCGAACTTGACCTGCCTGCAGACAAAAGACAAACCTATGCAAAATTTCAGCACCCTATTACAACAGACGGACGGACATGGCTAGATCGTCTTAGAATTTTACCCTGATCATATATATATATACTTTATAGGGTCGGAAATGAATATTTTGATGAGTTACAAACGGACAAAAGTAACGTAACAAAAGTAATATACCCTCCATACTATGGTGGAGGGTATAAAAAAGAAATGTATCGAATCGCGTAAATGTTCACCGCGGGAAAATATGCCAGGTAATCGATGAAGAGGCTACAAATATAGCGTAATATTGAGCAAACACTCAACACAAGCGTCAATATACCGAATATTTTGGGATGCCGTTTATTACGAGAAAATATTTTTTGTAGACTCCCTTTTTATTATAGAAGCTAAAACTTACTAAATGGAATAAAAACACACTAATATATGTATATCTAAAAATTCTGAATACCCCACAAGCCTATAAATATTCAACTCTTTAATTTATTATTTTATCTCTGTTGTTCTGAGATAATGCGCATCTTTACCCGCCC